ATGAGTGATGTGCGTGAAAACCTAAGAAACAAATTACCTATATTTGTCTCGAGTCTGGATAAGTAGTTGTGACTTGTTGTGGTGTCCTTTTACATTCTTTCCTCTTCATGTTTCTGTGTAGTCACAGGAACTCCTAAAACCACTCGCCTCACAGAATACTAGTGTATTTTAATACCCCGGGATCCTTTAAAAGAGGTGTGAAGAACAAACTTGTAGGCAGTAAGTTAAGGATGGCAGGTCTCGTGTGGTAGGTAAAACTGCGCCAACTATCTTCTCATCTGGACTCTACCTCCCCTTAACATTAGGTGGTATAGAGTCATTTGCTCGAGACCAATCTCGACACCTTAAGAAAATATAAAAATAGGTTTTATTATCTAATGCTTATAGAGAATATTATTAGCATAACAATTGATTTTACATTATTGCCGTTTAAGGAAAAATTTCTTCGAGAACTTTACTTAAGACAAAAATAAAGTTATCTATTTAGCGCCGACCAATCAGGACCCTATCTCAGCTTATGCTGACACAGCGAGACAATACTATTCTCCGTGTATGACAGTTTAACTGTTAATGTTGAAATAAAAAGATTCCAAGGATAGTAATATCTAAAGAAAGACAATTACCCTCGTTACTCGCTTAATGTTTCACTTAAAATGCCTCGTAATTTCCATCATCGCCTGTGTTTCTTCATGGATTGAAATTTAATCTATGGATTGGGTCTACTATGATAGTTCGTGAGATACAGCCCCTATCTAACGGACAAACAGCGAAACTTCAGTAATAGGGGTCCCTGGGTTCCGTTAATTTCGTTTCTCTCTGAGTCTAAGAACTCACATTGTGTTGTATTATTTAAATGATATCAGATTTATCTTTCTCCAATAAAACGTAATAAGAAGTATCAATATCAGAAATAAGTCAATAAGTGATACTTTTTTTTTATAGCCAGGTGTAGCCAAACGACTCTACCCCACCTGATGTTAAGTGGTGATAAAGTCCAAACGCGAAGATAGCCGGTACAGCAGTTATAAACTGCCACACCAATCACCTTGCCGGCCTGCAAAAATGCTTCCTCACGCCCTTCTTAAGGACCCCAGATTGTAGGAAGGAGGGAACACGTGCGCGGGCAAAGAATTCCACTTACGAATAGTGCGACAAAGAGTTGAGACACCAAATTTCTTTGTTCGTGTAGGAATAGTGGCCACGGTAAATCGGTAGCAACGTACGCTAGCGAGCGTGGTCCTCTGAAGGAAAGGTGGTGGAGGGATAAGGGAGAATAACTCCTCAGAACACTCGCCGTGGTATAGTCTAGAGAATGCGCTTAATGATGGCACATCGCGGCGTAATTGTAGAGACTCGAGTTTGTTAGTTACTTCTTCATCACCTATGATGCAGACAGTGCGCCGCTGCAACCTATCCAAGGTATCAAGTAAGTACTTAGTGGAGCTATCCCAGAGATGCGAGCAATATTCCACGCAGGACCGCACAAGCACAGTTGATCAGGCGTGAATAAACGCCGCACCTTGTTCAGGACTCCGAGTTTGCGTGAAGATGTTTTGATCACGGTTACTAAGTACTCCTTCGGATTCAAGTCTGAGCGAACTTCTATACCAAGCATGGTGATGTTGCTCTGTAGCGCCAGTGTTGTGCCCTGAAGAGAGGGAAGGGGAAGGAATGGCGATGTGTTTGCCGTGAAAGCGCAAACCTGGTTTTTCTTGGCATTGAAGTCAATCAAGTTCCTGGTACCCCATTAGGAAATGTGGTAAAGCCTGATTGAGTTCAGCGACAAGATTCTCCCGTTTCTCCTTGGTTTCTACCTACCTGTCCAGCCGCTGTGTGTCCAAAGTATCTCAATGCACTGTACTATCGTCTGCATAGTAATGAATATTCCCAAGAGGAATCAAATCATTGATATGCAGCAGAAAGAGTGAGGGGGATAGAACGGAGCCCTGAGGAACACCGGCATTCACTGACATGAACTGCCAACTACAACCGTCCGTAAGGACGTGAATTCTACGCTCATGTAGGAATTCAGCTACCCAGGCGCAGAACTGAGCAGGCAGATCGTAAGCAGGAAGCTTGGAGAGAAGGCTTTTGTGCCAGACCCTGTCAAAAGCCTTGGCGATGTCAAGGCTGATAGCGAGAGACTCTTGTCTATAGCTTCACCCCAGAAGTATGTCACGTACACTAGAAGGTCATTCGTCGATCGATTCAACAGTCGATGAAACAGAGAGTAATCTTCTAGGTAGCAGGTCAGATGGTTGTTAACGACCCTTTCTAAGACTTTGCACAACACTGAGGTGACAGCTATCGGCCGATAGTTGGCCGGGTCTGAGCGGTCCCCTTTTTTGGGCAACGGCATTGCACATTGGCATCCCTCCAAGACTCCGGCACACGTCCTAAAGAGTACGAAAGTTAGTACAAGCTCGGGAGACAACACCGCTGCCCAATATTTCAGTACAACTGCTGGGATGCCTTTGGGTCCACTAGCTTTCCGGACGTCGAGTGATCGCATCTACGCACGAACATCACGCTGCCTGATTTTAATATCAGACATCGTAGTGCCACAATGAGGTAGTGTAGGTGGCAGTGCATTGCAACCATCGATTCGGAAGTTAGCCGCAAAGAGCTTTGCCAATAAATAGGCTTCCTTCTGCGGCTTATGAGCTAGTGAGCTATCTAGACATTGCAGAGGTGGCAGCGAGGACTGGTAGAAGTTGTGCTGCACGACCTTAGCAAACGCCAAAAACTACGGGAGCCCGTAGGGTGCGTTAACAATGCGTGGCCAGTACGTGCAACACGTTGGGCATCCGCTCTGATGTAAGCCTTCTTGCAAGACTTGGAAGCACTATTATAGCTTTGAGTGAGTCAACCCCAGGATCCTTAAGAGCGCGGCCTCTGACCCAAGCGCGATATGCCGCCTGCTTACATGAAACAGATTGAACCAGCTGTTACGTGTGCTCTTATTGATGAGATCAGAAGGTGGATAATACTTCATTCCCATTACGATTAATCCCCAGCAATAGCAACGGCGCTGGCAGATAGGTCCTTTTCACTGAAGCAGCGCTGCTGCCAAGGGACGGACGCATAGTAGTCGCGCATACCATCCCAATCTGCCGACCCTGCGTTTGACTACCAATGGTCGAGGGGTTTTGGCCTGTGGTACTTTGTGTTGTGTGCAGATATCAGGCAATGATCTGATGAACATATGAACTCATCGAATGTCTTAAAAACAAAGCCAACGAACGGCACGTTTGCATTAGGTAGGTATTAAGAAAAAATAGTTTTCTTGTACAAAGTTCAAAATTTTTTGCCCATCTCGTTAATGGTTATTTTCAATAATACTCTGCATTGTTTTTTTTAATAGAATGGTTAGTCTATTAAAAATAATACAACAACCGGAATTGAAGACTGATGTACGTAGTTTTTATTTTAAGATTCTTTTTTGGGATTAGCTATGATTCATTTGTCACTAACTACAAAAGATATTACAGAATATAAATTACCATGAAGTTTGTTTGTAACGATATCTTTAGTCGGGTTTTAAATAAACACTAGCTAAAGAAGAAAATATGATAGGTCCAAAATGTTTGCATGGAAATGACCTAAAAATATTGGGCTAACTTTTTTGGAGCACCTGCAACTTAGAGTTCTCGGAAAATTGTTAGTGGAGCGCTTTCTTTAACCCAATCGCTTACAAAGGCAAGGATGGAAAACTGTGCCACATTAAAAATGGTACTCTGTCAATAAATATAAATATTTCCAACACTTACACCAATTAGCTTAGCCCCAAAGTAAGCATAACAGGGCTTGTGTTATGGAATACTAGGGTAACGGATAGAATATATACATATATTGTGCATATATACGTATATTTATATAGAAATACACATCCATGACTGGAGTACAAATGCTCGTATTCATCACACAAACATCTGCCTCTACCAGGATTCAAACCCGGGACCTCTCGAGCCGGCGACATGCCCATGAAACCCAGTGTATTAACCACTCGACCACGGAGGTCATCGCCTGTTATTAGCCGGAATAACGACAACAACAATACAATCCGGCCAATGACAGAAAAACTTAGCGTTCGTCTAATTCGTCAGTACTGGCTGGCTTCGGTGAACAGATTTGTTTTAGTGAAGTTTTAGTTATGATTTTGACTTAGCACTAATCCTACTAATACTATAAATGTGAAAGTTTGTATGTTTGTTACTCAATCACGCAAAAACGGTTGAACAGATTTGGATGAAATTTTACACATAGAAAACTTATAACCTAGAAAGTTACATATGATACTTGTTATCTCGGGAAAGAGTTAGATTTCTGAGGGATTTAAAAAAGAAACAAAATTACGCGAGTGAAGTCACGGGCGGCTGCTCGTGTTATTATTAGATACTTGAGGGTCTTACCTTTACCCTTTACCAATTATTAAGTATTGGCGAAAAGGAAAGCAGTTAAGAATAAAAGCTTATGGTAAACAGGCACCAACATTTACGCTTAATATTCCAGGAAGTATTACTGCCGCCTTGCTCATTTTCTATACCTTTTTGGATCTGGTAAACAATGAAATAAGACAAGCAAAACCATAATAAATACCTACACACACTAAATATATTTTTATTTGGCTGCTTCCAATCTTCGGTAATCTGGAGAGACTTTCCTAGACATTTGCGCTCAAATTCGCGTCTCATCAGTAGCTTAAAGTAGTCTATCAAATCCCCTGTCTACCTCATAATGAGAAGACGTAACAAATTTATTATATTATTTTTTAAGCATGTTACTGCTTGATGTTTAAATCTAAAGAAAATATTACTAGAAAAAATACCAACCGGACCAGGCAGCAGATGGGACTTGAATCCCCACCCTCCTCTATCCAGGCTATACGCTATCTAGCAGTTAAATATTCAAAACATTGAAATATAATAAACGTGACAATGTTTTTTGTATGTAGTTATATTTGTGTTAAATTTGTTCTAAAATTATCTTGTTTGTTGTAGTGATGAGCGGCGCGGGCGCGGAACTCGTCGTGCTTGGCTATGAAGTGGCGCCGGCCTTGCTGTGAGTACGTTATTTTTTTTCATAAAATGCTAAGCCCGCATAACACATTGGCCCAATGAGTTGGGATATAATGCATCATACCAAGGTATTGATCGCTGTTTACTTACACATATTGTCATATGTCTAATATCGTATTTGGAGCGCCATTCCCCTATGATGTTACAAAAATCACATAGAAACAGAGAATAGAATGAGCTTTCCCTGTCCAAGTGTAAAAAAATGGGCAGATAAGAGACAGAGACGAAACGATCGTAGAACGAAAAATTTGTATGCATCATCGCTTTCTTTCTTTTTATAGAGTTATTAGCGGCCGCCCGCGACTTCGTACCCGTGGAATTAGTTAGGAATAAAGGTTCATTGCTCGTTCCCCGTAGGTGATAGCGTGATAACATGTAGCCTATATGTTGACCCGACTTCTAAATAATATTCCTGCCAAATTTGAAGTAAATCCATGCAGTACTTTTTGAGTTTATCCTGGACATACATACAGACAAAAAATCTAAAAACTATATTTTTGGCTTCGGTATCGATTGTAGATCACAGCACACCCTAACTATTCTCTAAAAAAAAATATTCAATGTACAGTTTTGACTTTCCTTCCATTTTATTATATGTATAGATCAATTTCATGCGAGTGTCGCTCAGTCAATTCTTTATGTCTATGAGACACTATTCCATTGATCTATACCAACAATGCGCTAATGAGATTTCTTCTATGTGTATTGCCCAATGCGATGGCTCACTACCTTGGCCCAATGTGTACAGTGGACTAAACACAGCCGTCATCAATATACGTTTCAAATGAAGTTCTATTAAAAATAATATAATATATAACCACAGAGCATTTGTTTTCAGTATATTTAAAGATTGTCTGCTATCGCAACAAGGTCACATAATTTAAGATGTGGGACTATCTATTTTACATATATTCTACGGTATTTTTTGATATCAGTAGGTTACTGATACTTTAGTATATTTACAGAGAAAAGTATGTAGATATTCTAGCCTTGTATTAATTATTGTTGACTGATATTATTCTGCTTATTTATCATGCTAAGTTCTATATGAACGGCATTAAGTTCTGTTATTCTCGAGGAATTTAATAAATACTCATGTCAATTCTTCTTTATAAAGATTAATTATTTATAATGGAAGAGGGTAAGGTTTCTCAAATATTTTCACTTTCTTACCTAACGAAATCCGAAAGAACACAGCGGTAAGGTATGTATTTTTGGATATAACGCCTCGATCGAAAGATTAAAATAATGATATACAACTATCGCGATTGAGGATAAAATGATAATATAAATAAGTCTTTTTGATTGAATAACCGTGGCACCCGACGACCTTAGCTAATTACAGAAGACAGATTAGTCCGTGCCAATGTTTTAATCCTATTACTAAGCGAATAAAGCCTGGATTTCTCGTTATAAAAATCTGAAAATTTACATTCCTGATAAAATAAATAGTCAGACTATCCCGATTGGCCTTACAGTCGTTGCTCGTTGGAATAATTGTAATCCATTATCGTTTTTCGCTTCTTCAGTGTCGGAGCAGGGCTGGTGCTTTTATTGGAGACGATGTGGGCTGTGGCATTGTTTGTGGACCTCCTCGGTCGGCGAGGAGAGTACACCTTATCCCTCAGATGTTGGGACTTCATGAGATGGTCGTGCGCACGCGCCCGTGCTCCGTTCTACGCATGCGTTGCGACAGCATTGCTATTCTCACACTTAACTCTACTAGCATCAATTTCAGGTAATAAGAAACTTTGGTTAGAAATATGTTTTTTTTATGTTAAAAGGATAGCAAACAAGCGTATGCCTAATCTTAAGTGACCGTCATAGCTTATAGACGCTTGCGATACCAAAAATATCACTCGCGCTGTTGCCTATCCTGACCTAATCCTCTACCCTTTGGAGTCCCGGAACCTTACTCACCGACAGAAACACAACACCACCAAAAAGTAGTGTTATATTACTGTGTTCTGTAAGGTGGAGGTTACTTCCCCAGACGGGCGCCCCGATTCGAGCGGGATATCCGGTATGCCCTATCTCTATCATGTGCATTGTCAAAATCTGGCAACCATTTTACTGCAGGAATACTTATAATGTTTGCATACAAATAAAAATCTAGCAGTTTTATGCATAAATAGGTAAAATATATAGGTAAAATAAAACTGAGTCATAAACTTCAATAACTCGCCAGGTGTTTACAAAAACTACAAGTGCAATTAAGAAAAATACAAAACGAATTTGTCTGTTTTTTGTTTTGTTAGAATACCTACATACTGACACCCTTAAAAGGTCAACTAACCATTGTATTTGTTTATAATACAAGTAGGTATAGCAGCAGTTGGAGTAGATAACTAATAAATAGTTAGTAGGTAACTAATAAATATCGCTACAGAATTGTTGTATGAATCTTCGTTCGTTTTTCCTAAGTTCTTCCCATCCATTTTTCTCTGTTTGCTGCTTAATGATTAACTTTTTACTAAGTACTGTTGGATTCATTCATACATTCCTCATAAAATTTGTGTAATTTTTTTTACTCTACTTAAGCAATTTCAATCTTCCTCTGATTATATAAAGTTTAATTCCTTTTTTGAGTTTCACAACTCACATAACCACATCTTGTCATATTTTTTTACCAACATTTCATTTGTGTTACTACAGTAAATTAGTAACGATATGTTATTTTACAAAATCGCAATTTCAATCCATAGGCCATCCAGGGTACGCAGCATTTCCTGATTGTAGAATTTCATTCCGCTCAAAATAGAAAAGTCTCTTTGGCGTGAATCCAGTCCGTCAAATGACTGTGCAAGCAGCGTGGCAAACGTTTGCGGCAATGTATCCCGTGATATTAATCCAAACATGGTGAGAAAGCTGTTTGGAAACAGTTTCCTATTTGGACTATTTCATCACCTTATCCAGCGTGCATTTGCTACGCTATGTATGGAAACCTTATCAAACATTTATACTTGAAAACTTATAAATCTATAATATGATATAAGTAGAACTATAAAAAAAGTTTTTTTTTGTATTACACATTTGAGAGAATAAATATCAATGTTAATAAAAACATTTTGTAAAAATATTTAACTTTTGATTCCTATTTCTAACAAAAAAGGATATCTGCGCCTGGGCAGGATAATGGTTCGATTTCAGTTGGAGCATCAGGCTCGGATCGAATCGAACCATTTTTCTCACTATAGCCTCAGGTATTTTCTATTTATTTTTATTTACTTCCATAAAGGAAGTATTCTTTGTTACTATTGCATATCGTTTATAAATCGCCATTACTCGCTTGTTTGTAGGTGGTATGCTTCTGATATTGGCTGCTCTTCGAGCCATGGTGCCGTTCTCGCCGTACATCAACCACAGCCGGCATTCTCCTAGGGCGGGTAGCTCCCTACTGAGTCAGCACGACTCGCCGCTGCCAAGTGTTTTTTATAACGCCGCCCATTCAGGCGAAGACGTCAGGTAAATAATAAACAGTTTGTTATTGTGAAAGAATATCTATTTCCGTGCACTAGTGAATCCAATTTTCTCGAGTGTTTATTTAAGTTCTTTCAAGTGTTACACAGCGTCATTTGTAAAGATTATCTAGTTTTAGCTGATTTTGTTTTAAATGTACGATTATAGAGGATTTAAAAATTTCGATTTTCTGAGCACTAGTGACAACAATTTTATTGTCTTTGTGTTTATGTTTTCTAAAGTTAGATGCATTTGGTGTCTTAACTGAAGTGATTGAATTATGTAATTTCTTTATTGATTAGAGAGCGATAAATCATTTTGATCATAATATCGCTATTGACAATTTTAAGTAATATGCGCAATATACGCTTTATATTTTGATTAACATTAAAAATGTACGACTAATATTGTCAGTTTTTCAGTAAATAAAGAATTATTTTTGCGTTTACTTACTTTACGTCCTTGTATTTTTTTAAAAAGCCTCGTGTCTACACGTTATTAATTATATTCGGTAATGATCCTGGCTTTTTGTATTAACTATTAAGTATATAAGAGTTTAAAAAACCAAACACTATTCTGTCTGATTTCAGATCTGAGGAGATGACGGTTTTAGATGTGAAGTCTAATAATATTTCTGAAGCGGATAGATCACGACCGGTGACACCAAAACCGCCTCTGCTAGAGCTCTGATGTAGCAAACGTAAACAATTAACGTTGAAATATCAAGTGCATTGTGATGGAGCAGCCAATGAGAAAACAATTAAACTAGACATTATCAACATGTTACTATCAATTGTATTTCATCGAGAAGATGTCAACAATACCTACTACTATGTTGCTTTGAAACTGTTGCAGGGCTATATCTGCAGTATTATCATACCATGACTCTTTACAACGAGTCAGTTACTATAATATAAATAGCTGTTAGAATCTTATCAGAAACTATTTTTTCAGCAGTAGATATATTATAATGTCGACAGTTGGCTCTTGCGAAGACTTTGGTACTAATAGCACTCATAAAAAGTGATGGATATTGTAATTGAGCAACTTAAGGTGTTTCTTTTTGTAAAAAATATTGTTTAGTCTAGTACAGATAAGCGACGATGCTAATAGTGATCAAAAGAAATAAGCAACGAAAATAGATTATAGGGATAATGTAGTTATAATATTTATTTATTTAACATTTTTTGTCTAATTTTATACCTGCGGAAGAACTGTGATAGATTAGTTTTTAGTACTAAACGTCGATCACTAAATAATAAATGGTATTGATAAGTTTTAGGTGTCAAAGTATCCATTAAAATAAAACAAAACTTGGTTACGTGTGATTTTATTTTTTTCATGTGCTCTGTTTTTGGCTGAGAACTGCGTAGTAGGAGTATGCCGCTTTCATTATCTGCAATGAATATTGAGTTAATTAGTTTTTCTACAATGAAATTTTTGCTTAGATATTATGAAAATAATCTATACATCTTAATAAAATAGAAGCTTAAGTACGTAACTATTTATTTAATTAAAAAATATGAAACTAATGAAAAATAATGCGTATAAAAATTCTGAGAATCAGAAGTAATTTCATAGTATTTTTTCCAATAATAAAATTTTATTACATATACTACTACTTATAAAGGACAATGTTAAAATTGGCCTAAGAACCAACACCAATTTGGCATTTATGATAATTCCTAGTATATTTTTTGCGATAATTATCAGTATTTAGATTGTGACGGACACTTCCAGTTAAGTAAGCTAAATTAAAAAGTTAAAAATAATCTGAGACAATAAATACCATTTTATGTGTATAATCTATGGCAGCGCTGCAAACAAAACACTCTTTCTTCCTAATGCCGGCACTTCACTTGGCTATTCGTATTTGCTATTTTAAAACATGACATCAGTCTGTCCTTTTTATTCCTTATTAAGCATGACAAGGACAAACTGTGGTTGTGGTGCAGGCAGTTTGCATTCGTAGTAATCTGTAACATTCGTGCATTCCAAAGAGTAGTCTAATATACTGGAAAGTGCATTCTCATTTCGGATTACCTGTTGTGTTGTTTATTTGCGATTGTTTTTCCTTTAATTCAACTATTTCGGCTATCTAATATGCCATCGATGTTACCAAAGAGCAGAACCCTTATTACCAAGTGCTAGTGAACCTGTGCCACAACATCCTGAGAGGATTATACTGCCAAATTATTCAAGAACACCTGATACACATTCACGCTGCATATTTACACAATATACATGTGATATACAAATAAATACAATATGATATATTTATGTGAAAAATAGTCAATAAATAAGAAGCAAAACTACAGTTTCTATTTTATTCATGATTCCTACCTTACCAAGTTTTTCTTATAGTTTTTCTTTAAAATCGCACCTGATAAAATGAATTAGTTGTAATATTAATTCACTTCATACTAAATTCATAGGTTGACCTATGTTTCATTAACTATTTAACCTAACCTCAAAGAATTTTTAGTATTCCTAATAATTTAAGCTCTCAGAAGTGTCCGTCAATAATCTTTCTTTTAACGACTGTTAAAAATCGTAAGTAAATGACTATTTACTTACGATTTTGAACCTAGAAAATAATATTTCATGATTGTTGGTTCTTAGGCTAACTATGTATGGACGCTGAACAATGTCCTTTTAAATACTTTATATCATAGTAGAATTCCATTGATAAAATAGTAGCATCGGAACCATACAATGACGGGACTTTATCATTATGTAATACAAAGGAGGAAAAAATTATGATTAAAACTTTTACATTATTAGGGCAAAAAAAAGGTTAAAAACGCGAACATGGGAATAGAGATTCTCAGTAGTTACATGTAGCTAGGAGCTCAATGTCGCAAGTGGTTAGCGCGTTCCGCTGCGATCGTGGATGTTAAGCAACTTTACCAGTGGTCGGTTATTGGATGGATGACCAAAAATTTACAAATTTGAGCTTCTCCGTGCTTCGGAAGGCACGTAAAGCCGATGGTCCTGGCTGCATCTGTGGCGGGCACGCGCTGTGAGTCATGACCCAATCTTCCTATTCCATCTAAAGGGAAGCCTGTACCTCAGCAGTGGAGACATTAGTAGGCTGGTGATGATGATGACATGTGGCTAAGCTTACAGAAATGAAGCAATCGGTGTTTATATACGCGAATCCTGCTGCAGTGAGACGCAGAGGGCGCTGCGCTCTCATCATCGTTATCATCAGAAGGCGTCGGAGTTTCGGTGACATCTTCTCCCATTTCGAATGCATCACAGCATCGGCTATGCGGGATGCCTAAGAAAATATACAGTGCCCACTTTTAATGCGATTTTTTTAGAGAATTAGATCAGGCGGGACTATATTAAAAGATATAGAGCAACTACTCAAATTGGAGTGCCCGTCTGGGAAAGTAACCTTCACCTTACAAAGGCCACAGTGAAATAACACTACCTTTTGGTGGTGTTGTGTTTCTGTGGATGAGCAAGGTTTCAGGGCTCCATAGGGTAGGGGATTGGGTCAGGGTAGTTTACCATCAGGCGGGCCATATGCTTATTTGCCATCTTTTTAACATAAAACAATATAACTGTTTATTACACAAACTATAAACAACTAAGTAGGTACTTGAATAATCCTAAAATTTCGCTGAAATCTCCGGTAGGCTAAAAATATCAAATACATACATAACGAGTACCTAATTTTGACTCGGTAAAATGCTTTACGCATACCGCGTAGCTGCGCAAGCAGACGGGGTTACGTGAGGCTTCTACCCCCTATACTACCCTATACTAAAACATCGGGATGTGCCCTCCCTGCCTGCCCTGGGTAATGATGCGTGGGTTCCTTCTTTGAAATCAACCACACCGATACATTACGAGTACTTTTTTTTTGTGACGCAGGCAAAAACTCTGTTTACAGACGACGGCGCCTTTAAGAGGCACACCGCCGAACGGACCTCACACCTGGCTTCCGCAAACTTTATGTGCCCCCACAGTGGCTGCCCACTGGGGACCCCGTAACTCTTACGGGCGCTTTACGGCATAATATCCGCTAAAAACCCGGCGAATACCCTCTAAGCTGCTTAGTGCGAAACCGCGGGATCCCCGTTTAGGGATTCTTCCGCGTCTCCGCACCCAGCAGCCTCCCGGCCTAGCCTAGGCTCCACGGCAGGGGTCTCCCGAGGTATTGCGGGGACCCCGCAAACGTGCGCAGGATGGACCTGCGCAATTAACTTACGAATGAGGTCACGCGTTCAAGTTGTAACCGAGAAAATTGTTATCTTATGGCTACGGTGAGTTAAATCAGTAATAATAGAATGTAACAAAGTCGTCAATAGGTTCAAGAAAATGCCATTGTTCTGAGTTCAAATGTACAATGCAGGACTCTTTTTATAAACGCAATGCAACTGTTTCTAAAAAACATCTGTGTGTGATCACTCACAGAATGCTTGGCGACATATCTGGGTTGGCAATATGCCATTGCTCATTGATATTGGACCTATTTTACGAATTCTGTAATAAAAACAGTCTACAGACTTTTCAGGGAACACCCAAAAAAAAAACGACGGTTTGCACTCCGGGAGTGCCGGCAGAAGTGAAAACTTGAATATTAACGTTGTGCTTTTTTGATATTTTGGAATGGTTAGGGAATAATTTTGCACGAATTGCTTTAATTATCAGTATAAAAGTTATGTGGTAGAATACAATATTTATTTACGTGTCCTGAAGCGAGTTCAACATTTTTTACCCATTGTAAAAAAGTGTACAACGTCGCTAAAGAAGTTTTCACTTCAAAAGAAGATTGATATTTTTTGCTATTTTTCATAAAATATCCCTAAGATTTTGAACAAATCTCAAATGCGAGATATTTGTTTTTATGTGTAAAGCAAGCTTATGGCTCGACTGATAATAAGCGGTCGTCATAAACCACATTATAGACGCTTGCAATATTAGAATACTTTTATTTATAAATAGATCTGACAAATGACTCCACCTAACCTGATGTCAAGTGTCGGAGGATTCTTTAGTTCTCTCTCTCACTGTTGTATACTCCGACCTTATCCCCTAACACGTGGAGACTTAAGTTTAAATCCCTAGCTAAATATTCATACCTGCTTTACTACAGACCTTTACTACAGACTAGCCTTTGTACTAAGGAGTTCGCAAAGTTTATTGCAAAACCTTACGGGAGCAAAACTTCAAACAAAAGCACCCGTACGTCTCCCCATAACTATCAATGGGACTTTGGTTAATTGTTAAACAAAACTTCATTTAATTTTCTTCCCTACATGCTCAAATTACTAAAATGGAATATGTACAATATGGGCAGTTGGATAGCTGCTAATTTTGTTCTCTCTACTTTCTTTCCTTACACTTGTAATAAAGATTTACCTGTTATTATTACGTGGACACAAGTTGATGTATAATTGCAACACGGAATATTTTTTTTGCATAGTTCATAGTTTGTTGGTAATCTTGGCACCTGTCTGTAGCGTGTGATTTAAATCTCGAGAAATTTAATGAATGATAATTTCTGAATTCTTCCTAGAGACAGTTCATAGTCTGCAATGGTATGGTTATTAGACAAACCTATACTTAAGCTTATACTAAAACTGACCCATAAAAATGCGACCGAATTATTAATAGTTTAAGAGCACTTGTTATTTTCACAAGATATGATTATTGTAATCGTTAAACTCACTTGCAACGTTAACTCGTTTCCTGTGAAGCATTGCAAAGCTAGTTGAATAATCATTGCTACGAAAAACGCAAGCGACGTCACAAGATTTGTAGATTTAAGACTCGAAGCATCTTGCTGTAAGAAAAAGGAAAATATAAAAAAAAAACACAGTTAGGAATGCCAAAAACGTAGCTATTTATTAAGTCACCTTATAGATGGTCAATCTGTTAAATCAAGGCCAATAAAAACAAATAGAAAAGGTGTAGTTATGACAATAATTATCATGTTTATTTAAATTAATTATGTCACCTTTGCCTTAGCCTTCCTGCAAGAAAATGCTAGACGTGACAAATTTCTTTTTGAAATTAAAGCATAGTATGTTTATTTTAAGTATAACAATAATTAGCGTGATCTTTAATCATAACAATACGGAATAATTAATCTAAGACAACTGACACGGAATAAAATAAGTCCTTACCGAAACTTGAACCATTACGACGCAAATGGCTGCCATGCTGGAAAGAAGTTGCGTCATGAAACCGTAAGCGTAAGTTGTGGAAAAATTTTCAACGCATCTGCAGAAATAATATGTTTATTCTACACTAAAAGATAAAAATCGTTCGAGTATCCGTGTAGGGCAAATATTCTTAATCCAACAGAATACTGCAGCCAATATTCTTTTCCACAGAAACTAAGGTTGCCAAGCCCCTTCCTCACCGGGTCGGTGCGGGATTATTTATCTTAAATGAGAGTTTCCTCACTAAGTAGTCGCGGTACAAATTCTTTACCGAGCTGATACACAGTTCTCTGTATCGAGTGCTACCGAACCATTGGACTCACCCGTCTTGTCACTCCCGCAAACTAAACGAAACGATACCGCTTGGATACCGCACTGAAACCAAGCCGGTCAAGAAGTGGTTTAAGCTAAATAATTTGTGCAAATTGTTAAACGAAAACGAAACGAGCTCCCATCCCACGAACCGGGATCCAGCTCGGGATAGTGAAGTGCGAGTAATACTTCTGCAATAGCAGTTATCTTAACGTTGTGTTAGCCGCTTAGCATCGCCTGTTTGCGTTACACCCTTTGCGCATAAAAAAAAACTAAGAAAAGTCTTAGGGAATTTCATCTTGCAGGTGGATATGAAAGGTTGTGTTGACTCAAGTACAGAAAAAAGCTCGGGGGTGACAATATTGAGTCGGTAATCCCTGGTTATTGCAATGCAGGCCGCACTGATCGAGATCTTATTGCTGTCATATCGGTTATGATGGATTTTTTTTCCGAGGGATCAAAAAATAACTCTTTAGTTTCTAGGACATAACTCTTTATTATTTATCATGTTAAATTAAGACTTGCAATATGCCAGTTTGCTTGGCAACAGGCCATTTGTATAGGTTAATTTTATCATTTGACTATCAATCTAATCTCGGGGTAAGTAACAGCCATATATTTGCAAATCCAATGTTTGGCTCAGGAACTCGGCGCCGCGTAGCTTTTCTGTTTAATACACATTGCACTTTATGGCAGTTTAGCGGAGTCTGTTGGCCCTAACAACCGCTCGATTGCCAAAAACTTCACTATAATTGTATAGGTACTCTTATAGCGAAAGCTTCACTGTAACGATATTGCCTCTCTATGCCATGTGTTTTGTGTGTTGTTTGTGGGCTTTATTAAATTGAGTAATAACATTGGCTTTAGAACTGAACGTAACTTGAATTGTTTATATATAAGTTCTTGGTTCTAGCTTAACCATTTTAAGCGATGTATATATATATAATTCAAAGACTTTATCATCGATATATTGTTTTAAACTTTCATGGCTACTATTATAGTAAGCAATTTAACTCATTCAGTTACTCCGTGATCACGACGCGGGCGGCGCGGCGCTTGCAACAGTACCGAAATATTGGAGACTCGCTAAAAACAAGGTACATGGTAGAACTCCCGTAAATAATATAAATGACTACAACTTTATCATTGTTTTAGGTATGAGATATTAAGTAGGTGCTTATTATAACCGATTTGACAATGAAAGATCATTGCTAAATCAAAAGCAAGAGCTTGTATTCAATAGATTTTATAAATATTCTTTTATAATAAGTGTAAGTCAATTAATCAATGTATGATCAATTTCGCTTTGTGCTTTCGCAATGTTTGAACGTTTTTATCACCATTAGTACTTACAGCCATTGTTTCGCGAAGCGATCTTAAAAGCTCAAAAGGGATGGGGTTCGAAATTATATGCCAGTTCACGCTTGACAGTTCTTTATTCACCACTCATTTCACACAATTAACACACAATATTTATTACAAAACACTCACTAAACACTGTATTTCACTATACAAGTCTCTAAACAATCGCACTTGAACACTTTTGTTGCACTTTGATCGCTTTTGGTTTCGCTCCGAAATCGCTGTTGAAACTCAACTGACTCTGCGCGTCGCCAATCGCGCTTATATACGCCGATCGACACATTCTAGAAAGTACCTGTTAAATTGAGAATTACCTAGCACCCGCGAGTACGAAATACTTACTTATACCTACGCAGGTAACACGCATAACTTGTAAACAAGTGCAGATGTCGTTGCACTTTCACCCTTACGCCGCACTGCATAAGGCTCATTTTAGAATGAGCCGCATTACTCGACCTCTATCGCGACCCGCGGTGATCTGGCAAATTCGATCTCTGGCACTTTCGCGGTTACGTTTCGAGAGCGTTTGTGACATTGGTGTCAATTCTGGCGTGATTCTCTAAACTTAAAACCAAATTTTAGGTCAGTCTCACCTTTTCATTCTGTATAGAGAAGGACAAGGATGCACTGTTGTCAAATTTAAGTTTAGCTTTAGAGAATCATGCCAGAATCGACATCATTATGTTTTAATCTATTGCCAAATCTGTCGCGGAGCATGACATAAGTAAGGACGGCTTGACCGATTTGACTGATATTTTCTTTTATACGTATTCGTAAATGTTCGATTTTTATAGCGTGCTTGTAAGTAGTTTTTAAATCTCAACTCTCTCTTCTAAATTTTATTTAGAAGACTGCATTATTTCCAAATAACGTCGATTCGTTAGTAATGAATATTTTAAATTGGTGTAATTTTCAGTTAGTATATTAAAGCATGGTTAAGTAATTGTGGGTTCAAATTGTAATCTCATTATTGACTATATTAATTGCAATGCAATGTGGAGAAGAATTTATTCAAGAAAACTTTTAATTAAAATTACAGAGTTGATAGGGATTTACATCTTTTAGAAAAAAATGCAATGTTTATTAGCCGGAGGATAATACATTTAATTTGTTCACCCTATCAGTGATTAATATATTTGTAAGACTTTTGGTAGGTATAAAATCATTGCAAGTATGTATATGCCTTATTCGACAGTTTTCTATTACAACGGAACTTGTGATGCTTCCCATTGTATGATTTCACATGTGTCATAGCTACGTCTACGTGTAAAGCCACAGTCTGAGGCTAGAATACAGAGCAGCTCCCTTTGATTTATGTATGTTACGCCGTCGTACAACTCCTATGCATGCCCTACTTATAAAGTCGGAAGAGTTTTTGCGAGACGACTCATCTTGGGTATTGCTTATGCATAAAGTATGTCCGCTATGTTTAAATTAAAAAGAAATGACACGCAGTCGTGATGAGCATCTTGTGAGAAAATGTACGAGAAATTTTAGAATGAGTGTGCGAGTATACCTAATGATACTTTATAATGAAAGAGAAAAAACTAAACTATTAAGAATGTGACTGTTTTAATTTTCAATTGTTTGTTAGTTGTTATTGGATTTTTCCTATACTTAAAAAAAGGTTACCTTTTAAACCGATGTTAAAACCGATCAATGGTACAACTAACGTAAAGGGCGCTTAAAAGGTAACTACCTATCTAATAAAATTTATACCCTGCTGAATAAAATATTAATAAGAAATAATTATTTTTAATAATAATTTATCACCTGCAGCTAAGCAAAAGCTTGCAATGCGTTGCACTAAAATCCAAAAATTATTTCAAGTAAAATAGCTGTTATTCTAGCAGAGAACAGTGATTCAGTTGGGTGTTAATTAAATTTTAACGGCGAAACTGCCCGTTCGGTGGCACAAACAACGTTGATTTATCTACGAATGCTCCGGGCTGCAATAAATATAAATTTAACATTCTGCTTGTACATACATACCCTATCAGAGCTTGGTGTTGGCGAAAGCAGTTTTTGAATGTCTCCGTCAAAGCCACTTCAATTTCTTCCTTACTGTAACGGGACTTAACAACTTCTTCGATATTATCCTGGGTGTATTGTTCCTTTTTATCAATATCACTGTTTGTTATCGCAATGAAATCTTGGCGTACTCCCTCATAAAGTCGGATCATTGTACGATCGTAAGCTGTGATGAGAGCTTCACGGAGAATGCTGAACTGATTGCTCATATGGAGAATAAGTGATCCTATGAAGGTGTCAATGCCCATAACAATATGTCCAGTCCACAATAGACCTACTGTTTCAAGAACGAAGGTTGATATGTATGCTTCTTCCGTTTGGTAATTCCAAGGAATGTATATAGGCTGGGGCAAAGTCCTGGGTGGGGCCAAATCTGTGTTGTTCAATTTTGCAACTTCTGCTTTCCAACGAATATCATAGATTGTGCCATAAACGTTGGTGTTTCCAATTGTGATCCAGCCGAAGAAAACGAAAGAGGCTGTCATTACTCTCGAGATTTTTATGGTGGCACGATTCTTTGCATTGTTTTGATAGAAATTGTATAGATCTATTTCGAGGGTGCGAACAATATCTTGTATCTGGTCGTTTTTAAAGTAGAAGATATAGAGTTTTATGAGGGTGAGATCGTGGGTTATGACGAAAGAGAGACTGAACATAAATCTATCAATATCCTTTTCGCCGATAAATGGATCGATTGTTTCGAGTCCGACGAATCCGACCACCCAAACGAACTGAGTTACGATTGAGTAATATAGATACCATCCGAAAAAATTTCTCGTGTCTCGTTCGTCCGGCTGGTGCCACCAACCCAGACCAAGCACCCTGAAAAGTAGAAAGTGTAAGTAGAAGTAATGCCTAGGACGTGTGGAGGAGGCCATGATATCTTGGTAAATGTGCACTGGATACCCATTGTGGCAATTAACACCTTGGACTAGATTAATTAAAATTGTATTCAGTATTCTCGGCAAGTAATTATGGGTTCAAGTTGTAACCTCATTATTTATGCAATACTTACTCGGTGTTTAAGGGTTCTCTTAAGATTTTGAACAATCAAAATTAACTTTAAGGCAATAAGGGTGAGAGTGCGTTTTACTGAAAAAATATTTATTTAATGATAGGACTGTTGTTGATTCTGGCATGAAGAATCTGGCATGATAAATCGCTGCTCAGTTGCTCAGTTGATACGCGAGTCGTTCCGAGAATGATACGCGAGGCTATTGAGATTAAAAAATATCCAAATTTCAATAGGGAAGATGGTTGGTACATACCACCAGCTTGGGAACCCATTATACAGGAGATAAAATCCCAACCCCGAGCACACACTGCAAGACCAACAGATACTATTAGTTCTTTTTGTTTGCATAATTTAACATAAGAAGGAGATAGAAAGCCTCTATTGAGTTTGTTTCGCCGGTTCTTCTCAGAAAGGTCTCCCAATTTTGGAACCGGTGGTAGTTTACGGTATTAGAACACTAATATTATGTGGAAATTACCATATTTGTTTAAACTGTGAATAACAACATCATTTACTTTAATACACCATATTTATTCAAATTCCTTAAACCAATTAACTCAATCAAGACAAACTTAATATGTCATATTTATTTGACACTTACCAGCCACTACTTTATTATAACAATAATAGACAAAACATATATTAACCTCATCATCCCCCCTCAATTATAATTTTCCTTAAAATAAGAATTGAATTCATCAATTAATACTAACCTCTTAAAAAAAATTATACCTCAAGTAAATAGTAACTCAATAAAATAACCTCATCATGCCCAACTTAAATATTACACAAATAATAAAAAAAAATCCCCAACCAAATTAAATCCATCATTACTATATTATAAGTAAAACCCTAACTCAAAATAACAAACAAATCAACAAAATCCCATTTTTCCTATAAAGTAATTGTGTTTTTGTTTTCCTAAAGCTTTTGTTAAAATGTCAGCTACATTTTCATTTGTACTCACATATTTAATAACTATTTCTCGTTTCGATACTAAATCTTTAATATAATGGTATTTAATGTCAATGTGCTTTGATCTCTTGCTGTTTTCATTCGATTCTATCAATTTGATGGCACTTTGATTATCAATATATAATAATGCAACAGAAAGTTGATAAAAATCTCGAAGTAAACCTTTTAAATAAACCAATTCCGCAGATGCTAGAGCAGCAGCTATATACTCAGCTTCGGCAGTTGATAACGCTACAACATTTTGTTTCTTAGAAAACCAGGCCAATAAATTGTTACCATAGTAGATAACAGATCCACTTACACTTTTCCTATCAGTTTTGTCGCCTGCCCAGTCAGCATCAGTATAAGCGACTAAGTGACAATTAATCCCGGATTTATACCTCAAAGATTTCGACTTTGTATGTTTAAGGTAACGCAATACCCGCTTAGCTGCTTTCCATAGTGACATAGTTGGCCTATCCAAAAACCTACTCAGATACGATACTGCAAAGCAAATGTCAGGTCTACTAGAAGTAGTCAAATATAGAAGACAACCTATGAGCTCACGGTAAGGCACATCGAAGTTAATGGCTTCATTAACATTTGTTCCGAAATTTATTTCCATGGGAGTGTCCACTCCATTGCAATCATTCATATTGAATTTTTCAAGTAATTTATCTATTGCCGATTCTTGAGAAATTGAGATCGTTTCTCGCGTCCTTACGATATACAACCCCAAATAAGAACTAACTTCACCGAGATCTTTTACTTTAAACTCTGCTCTTAGTAATTCGTATGCTTTAAGCATATTTACCTCAGTTTTTGACATTAATATTATATCATCAACATAGACTAATAAAAATGTATCTTCTAAAATATATAAACAAAAATCATATTTTGATTGTTTAAATCCTTTACCCACTAAAAATTCATGTAGTCTTTCGTTCCAGCATTTCGGAGCTTGTTTTAATCCATATAATGACCTTTTTAGTTTTAAAAGTACACCATCTTTAAGTTCAACTCCTAATGGAGGTTTTATATAAACTTCTTCTTTTAACTATCCATTTAGAAAAGCCGTTGGAACATCTAACTGTTTCATATACATATTATTTTGTATAGCTTGGCTAAGCATCATACGAATTGTTGGCATACGTGCGACTGGTGAATAAACATTAAATAATGTTTCCTCTTGAAATCCTCTCGCTACCAATCTGGCCTTTTTTGTACCATCTTTGTACTATGCCACAACATACCATCTACTGTTTGTATAGCTGCGGCTCCATCCTCTGCTATAATTTCACCATGCAAAATATAAAGCTTTCCATTATTGTATGCCCATATAGTAGAACCATTAATAAAGCTAATTTTGGCATATTCGCTTTTGAATACAATCTCGTTTGGCTTTTCAAGTAACTTTCTTACAGACAGTAGATTATACGCTAAATTAGCCACAATAAGTCCTTTTATATTAATTTTAACATTTCCGCATCTGATGGGTAAATTACCACTGTAATACGCAATCAACTGCTGTCCATTTGCTGTGTTTATTTTAATGGGATGCTCTAAAAGTTCGTTATTTGTCATGTATTGTTCATAACAATTCGATATAAAATTTTGTGATGCACCAGAATCTACTACAAAGGAAATTAATCTGTTAGATGTCTTACAAGTTAAGCTGAATTCTCCATCTACCATACATCCCATTTCATCATTTGGTTCGTAATCGCCTACGACTGCATTATCCCTCGAAGTTGTTGCTGTACTAGTTTCACCTCTGCTTCGAATCTGTATTCTCCCACGTCCACGTCTATTAAATTCACCGCCTCGGCCTCATATAGATTTATTTTGATAGTATCTATTTTGACCAAATTTTCGACAATATATTGCCTTGTGTCCTTTTTCATTACAATTCCAGCATTCAATATTAAACGCATTATCTTGATTTACATATACTCAGTCTTATAATCGTATTTCCGCATCAAGTAATGTTGATTTTGTTTTGCTCAAAGTCAATTCATCGTTCATAGCTTCTAAAGCTGCTGTAATAATGCTGTACTTATCTGGCAATGAAAGCAAAAGATTTACAACTTTATCCGACTCTTCCATTTTTGAGATCATTTCGTTGTCACTAACAAGCTTGTCATATTTCAAGAAGAAACTTTCAAGTTTTTCGTCGCTGTCACATTTCAACTCTATCAATTTTTTCTTTAAATTATATTTGTTCATTATGCTTTTCCTATTGAAAATGCTTTCTAAAGAATCCAACATTTCTTTCGAACTTTTGCAGCCTTTCACAATTTCCAGTAAATTATCCTCTACACACTGTACAATTAGGGGTCTTCTTCTTTTAAACTACCACATTGAATTATATTACCCAGACCTATTTCTTCCATTAACAGCTCTAATCTAAATTTCCAGTTAGAAAAATTATTTCCATTTTCCAACCGAGGTATCACGTCATGTGTTTTCCCGGAAGCCATTTTCACTGTTATTTTCTATTTAGTTTTATTTAACCCGATATTCATAGAATATAGAATATGGGGCGGCCCATAACCTATTACAACACTAAGATTACGTGGAAATTACCATATTTGTTTAAATTGTGAATAATAACATCATTTACTTTAATACACCATATTTATTCAAATTCCTTAAACCAATTAACTCAATCAAGACAAACTTAATATGTCATATTTATTTGACACTTACCAGCCACTACTTTATTATAACAATAATAGACAAAACATATATTAACCTCATCATATGGTAGTTAGGTTCAAATAAATAAACTCAAAATTACAAAAAGGAATTTTAAATAAAATACTTTATTAAGTAATTTAAATAATAAATTTATACAAAGACAATAAAAATTTAAAAATCGAACAATGAAATAACCGAACGCTCAATAAAAGTCTTTCGAAGGTAGCTCGACAAATAAAAGTTTGATTCTGACGACGTAGCCTGTAAAGGCTACGAAACGTCAATAAATAAAGTTTCGTGCATTTACCCGTAAAAACTAGTTTTATTTAATGAGTGATGGCCGTGAAAACCTAAGAAACATTTATGTTTTTAGTTTTAAGTTTAGAGAACCCTGCCAGAATCTACACCACTACCAACTTAGAACGTAGTAATAATTTAACTGCGTTTATTGAGAAAATGGATAGGTATATATTTTTTGTTAATTCTATTTTTCAAAACATTATTAAAAATTGCATTTCGTCCACCAATTACTGGGCTCACATGGTGGGCTATGGCTCATTCTCCATGTGCCATCATAGGGAAGGCCCCAGCAGTGGGAGATTAATTTTAAGTATAATTTAAACTAGGAATAGAAAAAAAATGTATGGGTAATGTACAACATTATTGTTTTAGGTTTCAACTTTTCTAAATTGAGACTCTTTAGTAATAATTAATCTTTAAAACGTTTGTGATTGGTTACGCCTTCCAAATCCAATGTGTCAGCAATGATTTCATAATTATGCTGAATAGGTTAAAGGTTTCAATTCGTCAATACATAATCAGCGTTTCATTAAATATTATATCCAGCCCCAATGTTGGAATAGGCGTGGCGATAAAAATAGATTTTTGAAATGTGAAATAATTAATGTTTTTTTTTAACATTTGAAAAATTTAAGTATTGTCTAATTCTTGGGTCTGTTTTAATGTTATTATAATTATAAAGAACAAAATAAGGCGGTACGAAGTAAGTAGCAGTAGTTTTGTGTGGTAGGTGGTACTATTCTTCCTGATGTATTAAACCGACACGATGGCTGGTAGCGAATATTTCATATGGATTATTATCATCTCAACGAATATATTAGATATAATGCAATTGCTTTTGTCTAGTTTTGAAACACTGTATTCTAGAAATATAACCGAGTTTATAAAAGTTGATTGACGTATTGAAGCGAGATAATTGCTAAAAAATAGAAAAGACAATTCGGCCTGACTTCTAATCTTCCTATTCCGTCAAACTATCAAACAAAATTTTAAACTAAGACCACACTTATCATTTATGGGTATGAAAAATACTTAGTTTACGTCCTATTTTCAGACCTAAATGTGCAAAATATCATAGGTCAAGCCATTTCGAAAGAGTTTTGTAACAAATACTGTAACACTACAATTTTGTATATGAGAAGAATTAACGAAATGTTTTTTGTCTGTTTATTGAATTAAAAATTAAATTGCATTGATGAGATTCTTATGTTTATTGTAGATCTTGTTTATTGTAGCGCCTAAAGATCTAGTTTTATATTTTTTGTTCTGATGGCTTTAAGTGAATGATTGCAGCTTTGTTTGGAAAAAATATAAATACATAAAACTTTACACAATCTTCACTTTAGGTGTATTTCGTTAAATCACCGAGGAACTATCAAGGAAGAAATCGAGTCGACTAACTCAATAGGCAGTATTTGCAAGCATTTTCACTAGATGTCGTTAGGTGACGTTATCAGCCACATAATTTTAGTCAACATCTTCGGGTATTGTATTATTTTATTTCTAAATAAATTATTATATTTGAGTAAAAATATTATTAACATGTTCTTTTTTTATACAAAATTAAGACAAATATCTTAATGAAATCGTCTGTCAAAATTTAGCATCAGAGACTTATAGCGCATGTTATCGACGCAGTCACTTTCAGCAGGGTAGCGCTTTCTATATATCAAAACAGCTTCTTTTGCAATTTTACAGGAAAAAAGTAAGTCTCCTAAAAAGACAGCTTTTTACTTACAACATTTTCCAAAATAGAAAGAAAAAAAGGAGTATAATGTTTTCAGCTGTATTAGCATTTCATTAATCTATCTAACATCTATTACGTAATTGTAAAATGATGTATTTATTGGCTATAGTATCTGCAAATATTATAAGCGCTATTTTGAAATAAGATACAAGTAGTTATATTTTTTAGTTTTTGAGCATCTTACTGCTAGATGTATAAATCTAAAGGAAAATTTACTGTTAAAAATTCCACGCGAACTAGGCAGCAGACAAATATTCCAACCGGTGGTGCTCCTCAGAATCTTAAATTTCCACAAAACGGTCTTAAGGCTGCTTTTTTAGTCATTGTATGACATAGCAGTATTCTTTTACTATAAAAAATATAATGTGTAGTAGAGGTACATAACGTAGTACGTAGCGCTTAAAGCGCTGTCCGATTTACTCAAATAAGCCATAGCACATCAATGACGCTTAGCCAGAACACATAACCTCTCTCACAGTTTGTGTGGATGCTATGCCTTCAATACTATTATTGACATGCTTAATTTAACTCAGTCGGCGTTTTGGCCTCACTCATATCAATACATTTACTGTAGAGTCCGTAATTTTTTTATTGATTGGGAACTCCTGATAGTAGTAATTGTTTAGAAACAATTCAGGGTTACCAAGGTTAAGTCGGCAAGAAAACGTCATTATTTAAATATCTATTACACAACGCTGTCAAGAATTTTATAGCAAGTAAAAATTTAAGTGTTAGAAATTGTTCTGTTTCTGTTTGCGAGTGAAATTTGCGGTAAGTTCTTTAAGTGACAGCATTATTTTTGTTGCTTATAAATATAATTTTTGTATAGAAATATGAACCGTAACAATATGATAAAATGTATGCAATTTGATAATCTGTTGAAACATTAAATATCTGGCGCATGCGTGTTTTGATTCGCGGGTGGCGCGAATTTAAGTTTTGTTGCAAACATGTGGAAACTTTGACACAAGACAAGTGTAAAATTAGTGAAACAATAAGCTGCTTAAAATTATATTACATTTTTTATATAAAAAAGTTAGGTATTAAAGAGTTGTTAATAATATTACAAAGTTTTCTTTTAAAATCTTACTATTTATATTATTATTTTTATTATAATCTTACAATTTTTAATGAAGCTCTAACGCAAGGTGAAGCAACTCTAGATATTTCTGCGTTACTTGAATTTTCAATTTTTGCCTTGTTATTCTTTCTTCTATCTATTGTGCTGATTTTTTAGCACAGGCTGAAATCATATAAAAGGTCATATTACATTTCAGATCACAGGATAAATATGACCAGAATCTACATGGATTTTAGGAAACGGTAATTTTTTACATGAGCGAGCAAGTGCCAAATGATTTTATTTGACTATTTTTGTGAAATGTTGTGTTATTTTTTTACGAAATGAAGTTATCAAATATACCTTAAAGATTATTCAACTCAGAACACTATTTAGACATAGTTTTACAAGAAAAGTGTTCATACCTACCTACATTATGAGCTAAGTCGTAATCGTAATCATAGCTATTGATTTATTGTTTTTTATTGTTTTGATCTAACTATGAATAAACATTAACACATAACTGTGTAGTGTTAAATTTTAAACATATTCTTTTATGTACTATTTCAATTCATTGGAAAGAAAAGTCATCGACCTCAAGTTACTTATAACGGTATGAAATCATGGTTGGTCATTATGTCACACTTCGGTTACGCAGCGTATTCTATTTTTAAATTAAAATGAATTAACTTAAAATGACCGTTACCTTTTTTAACCAAAAGTATTATCTACGTACAACTTCGACTCCATACCACAACTGCACATAGGTACATTATTTGATTTGTTCCGATGAACAGAATTAAATTGAACGTGTTTTAGATCGGTCTGTGAAATAACTAATTTATGTTTTTACAATAGATTATTCTTATCCACTTTAAATGTTAAATTGAGTGTAGTATAAACTATGTTTTTGAACTAGTGATTATATTTTCAGTTGATACATGAAATAACAAGGTTAAAGTAGGCTACAGAAATGCAATCACGTGTTGAAAGCGTGTTCATAAAAACGAACTCTACAATAAAGTCATTGTCATCAAATCAATGTTAAGGTAAACATAGACCGAGAACTAATAATATAAGTTTCCCAAGTAGAAAATTATATAATACAGTCACAATCACGCAGTGGTCAAGTTAAAGATAAGTTTTAAAATGACAAAGATAAAAGAGACTACAAAAACTTCTCCATGAATTAATATTTTTTCTGTAGATAACTTATGGGCTGTATGTAGAGTACAAAAAAGTTTTGCTAATGAATTTAATCTAAGAGGAACTAAAACTAATATTATAGTAATATAAGTTATTTACGGGATTGTTACCATGTACCTTGTTTTTAGCGAGTTTCCGATATTTCGGCACTGTTGCTAGCGCTCCGTGATCATGGCGCTTGCATTTAATATTAGTTTTGTTTTAAACAAAAAAAAAAAATATTAAATACAAGCTGACATAAAACGAGTCAAAATAAGTAAATATTTATGTTTTAACCACCTACAATTTACTAACAGTTTAAAAGAGAATCAAACCAGCCACTTATTATTTTATTATTATTAAATAATAATGTTCTCATAATGTTTTTGCCCGCCGGAGCAGTTCAAAATTTTAAGTAAAGGTCGATAAACGTCACTATAATTTATATCGGACAAACGGGAAGATAAGTCGATCATAATGTTTTTCTTTAGTTTATTAATACTCTTGCATGAGCCATTTCGTTTATCTGAATCATTTACAGTCAACGATCAGTAATTTAACAAACTTTTGATCACTGCAAAGAACTGAAAGATGGTAATAATAATGGTACAAGTTTGTTGTAGCTTTTATTGTATATTGCTCCAGTCATTAAAATTGAGCTCATTCAATTCCGACCATTAATATCAGTTTGTATGTCGGCACTCGCTAAATTTATCGACTCTTCTGCATAAGAACTATTAAAATTGATTGGGCAGTGACTTTTAGCAACCTTTTGTAGTCATGCATTTAAACATTGTCCCATATAATTATTGTAGGTATCTTTTAGTATCACCCTGGAACTTTCATGTTACCAAGATGATTCTTGGTAACATGAAAGAAAAATAAGAACAATAATTATAAGTAGGTATTGTCAAAATTATATCTTTCAAGTGTTAGATGCAAGTTTATAAAACTATATGATACAAGAAGATAAGTTAAAAGCAGAATTAAAGATGGTATTCAAGAGATCAAAATTTATCTTATCATCAAAGATAAATGATGTATTTCGTGTGTTAGGTTTAATAAGTAAATCAGTATGTTGAGAAAGTTTTAATCTTTGCTGATTTATATAAAATTCATTATTTATTGCTGCGCAACAAAAGTATGTTATTTTAATTTATAACAAACCTGATCGATCCATCATAAAAGTAAGAGCAACGATGGCACTTATTTAATGAGATCATTTAAGATTTCTTTACTTGAACATAGCCTTTTTAATGCCTTTTCTTTTAGTTTATTTTTTAACACCCATATCTATATAAAACCGACCAAGTGCAATTCGGACTCGCGCACGAAGGGTACTATTATCTATGAAACATTAAATACAATATTATAATATCGAGCAAAAAACGTCAAAAAATATGTCTGTTGTATGGGAGCAACTCTTAAACATTTATTTTATTCTGTTTTTAGTATTTGTTGTTATAGCGTCTACAAAAATACATGATCTGTGAAAATTAGAACTGTCAAGCTATTACAGTTCATAAGATACAACCTGGTGACAGACCTATACCTTTTAAAGAGAAAATGTATAGGAACCCCTCTTAAATGTTTATTTTATTCTGTTTTTAGTATTTGTTGTAATAGCGTCCACAGAAATACATGATCTGCGAAAATTACGACTACTAAGTTATTACAGTTCATTAGATACAGCCTGGTGACAGACCTATACCGTTTAAAACGAAAATTACCATTTCCATAGTTGATAAATGTATTTAGAGTTGATTTATATATATTATACTGGTTTTATATCCTTTTCATATAAAAATTTAAACCATCTTCTTTTCATAAGAAAGGATTTTTTTTTTCGTTTTTGGCAAGATAAAAATAAATCAATATAGATTCTGAATCTGATATAAGTTCCATGGTGATTTGCAAAAACGTTGTTTACACTTTCAAATAATTAATATATGTACGATGCTATGAACCCTCGTGTACAAGTAAGACACCCGCTTGTTGAATTCTGTTAAGTTGAGCAAAATGTTTGTATAAAAAAGACATTATGCAGAATTATTTATCTTACGGTTGTATGTAATTCTTCTCATTCAGAGATAAGGCTATTAAGATTCTGTCTCGCGTGTACTTACTTTTGAGATAATTTTTATGATAAGTCATTTATCATCTGATGTAGTTAAGTCGGTTAGTCTGAGAGCTTAACAGTGAAGCGCTTGTGCAATATAATCAGAAGACATACACAGGGAGATTTTTATAACAACGATGATAATAATCAAACCATTTGGTTTATTTCGCGAAAAGTATAAACATTGCTATCATAAACTTATAATATGCCATGCTAATAATATACTGGACGGCCTGCAAAAATTAAGGGTCACCTTGTTAACTCAAAATAACATTGATAAACTACGTAAGCTAGCTCTTTTAATAAAAAAGTATAAAAAATAGTGTTTTTTTACTCATGACATAAACACAAAAATACAGTTGATTCAAAATAACCATTCGTTTTGGCGAGCGAGTATACTTATTGCATTGTGATCGTCAATAGTTAATCTAATGTTTTTCTTTACAGTAAACAAAAATGGTTTCGATATTTGGCGTATTCGATTACGTGATAATGGCTGCGACTATGGTGATATCCGTAGCCATTGGCCTTTACTTCAGATTAAGCGGCGGAAAACAAAAAACTAATGAGGTAGACATCTTAAACATATAAAGATATATTAAAATGTAATCCTCTTTTACCAATATATTGAATATGTTGATACAAAAAATGTGTTATATCTAAGATTTAAGAGGTAGCGGATATTTCCCTCTAAGCTCTCCACGTTTATAAAATCTTGAAAAAAGTTCCTAAGGCATATAGGATCTTACGTTTACTTTCAAATTATAGAGAAATATAATATTTCTTTCAGGAGTACCTTCTCGCAGACCGCAACATGTCCATAATGCCAGTGGCGGTGTCACTAATGGCGTCATTCATGTCCGCCATCTCATTACTCGGAGTATCTGCTGAAAACTACTATTACGGCATGCAATTCCTCGTCATAAATTTTTCATATGCAATAGCGACGCCAATCGCCAGTAAACTGTACCTACCAGTATTCTTTGGACTGCAAAAGACTAGTACTTACGAGTATTTGGAACTGCGATTCGGACCAAGAATAAGAATGATCGCCTCCCTAACTTATACCTTACAAATGGTGCTATACAATGGAATAGTGTTGTACGCACCAGCTATTGTATTAGAATCTGTGACTGGACTCGATAGACTTATATCGATATTAGTGGTAGGCTTAGCTTGTACGTTTTATTCTACGCTTGGAGGGATGAAAGCAGTGTTGTTTACAGATTTATTTCAGTCACTACTGATGTTAGGAGCAGTGCTCAGTATAGTTGTGTTCAGTTCGATACAGCTTGGAGGTTTCCATATGATTTTTATTAAGGCTAGAGAAGGAGGAAGGCTTAACTTTAATAAGTAAGTGGTTCATATTATAATCAAGTCAGTGTGTGTATACTTAAGTGATAGCCAGAAACAGCAATTTGTTGCATAGATCAATGATTCCACAAATATGATATCCGTTATAATAGGTACTTATATCGAATAAAATTAATGTCTATGCGTGTTTCATAAATCGATCAGACGCTATTTAGACTCTGCCTGCACAAGTATAATGTAAACACTTAACAATTATTAAACTTAACACATTTCTATTTCTAACAATTGAAAATATCTAGAGACTTTACACACTCTTCCTTAAGGCGTTAGTGTGCAATTAATCTAATAGTGTAAATTTTCAGTTTCAGTATAGATCCCACTGAGAGACACACATGGTGGTCGCTAATATTCGGTGGCTTGATCACCTACTTATCATTGTATGCTGTTAATCATACTCAGGTTAGACGGACATATTTGATTTAGTATACTTACTATTTTTAAAGTGCTTGATGATGGCATTTTTTTTTGAATTTATGAAACAGTGACACTTGTCTTGTTTGTCACTTGCGTAAAAGTCACCGCATTTTTTTCAAATAAGTAACATTTTTCATTTTAACAATAAAGTGACATACCCACCCACCCAGCTACGGACACAAGTCCCAACAAATTGTTCTATCCCACCTGATGCTAATGTGCAACTCACCGGTCTGAACCTTATTTTTTTGATCCGTGGAGCATAGGGTACCTTACTTACTGCAGGAACAATGCACTACAATAGCTAAATCAGTTTGTTGTAAAGTAGATTTAACAGCCACGGAATAGATAAAAAAAAAACTTACAAAAGCCTGTGGCTTAAAATATTAAACGCTGCGACTGCGAACAAATCAGTGCAACATACACAAAATATCAGGGGTTTTATTCGCATTTTCACTATGAGTAGACACGATAGTGTGAGTAAAGCCTCGACAATGGCTCTAATACAAAATACGAATGTTGGTCTTTCTGTTCCATGGTCACTTTTATGGAAGGAAAATTCCTTTAAATTCAAGCAGGAACATATACTGAAGGATCGCATCAGAAATGAGGTAATCCGGCAGAGAACCAGAGTTCTCGACATAGCCCGCCGGATTAGCAAGTTGAAGTGGGAGTGGGCTGGCCATATTTGTCGAAGAACCGATAACCGTTGGGGTAGACGAGTTCTGGAGTGGAGACCGCGTCTAGGCAAACGTGGTGTAGGACGTCCTCAGGCGCGATGGAGTGACGATTTGCGCAAGGTGGCTGGCAGGAGCTGGATGCGTAGCCCAAGATCGATCTAAGTGGCGTGCATTTGGAGAGGCCTATGTCCAGCAGTGGACTAAGATAGGCTGTTGATGATTGATGATGATGAAGGAACATATAGGCTCTATGTCCTAGAAAGCTGCATCGCATCCGTCATCTGCATATAAGATTTGGACGCGATACAAAATTAGCACATGAAGTGAATAAAGATTTCTGGGTTTTGTAATAGCAATTTTATCGGTTTCAGGTGCAACGGCTGCTAACAGTGAGCACTTTGTCCCGATCGCAGTGGTGTTTGTGGTGGAGTTGGCCGGCAATGACCCTTATAAGCACTATCACCTGTATCAGCGGACTCGGCATCTACGCCGTCTATATGAACTGCGATCCATTTATCAACAACAAAATCTCCGCTGTAAGTGCGACATTGACAGTTTGTATATACCTCAAGTACTTGCAACGCCTACGGTGGAGTTGTTTGGCGATGATCAGCAGTCATGTAAATCAACGGGCTCTTCATCTTCACCATCTATAAACTGCGTAACTGGTAACTCGTATTTCGCTAATAAGATCTCTGCTGTATTTGACGTCCTCTATGGTCGAGTGGTATATACGCCAGGTTTCAAGGTGTCGCCTACTCGAGAGGCCCCTGGTTTCGAATCCCTGTGGGGGCGAATATTAGTATGATGAATACGAGCATTTGTACCTTATTCATGGATGTCTATGTATATTTCTAGTTTACTACTTACTTATATATGTATCAGTATATGTATTCTATCTGTTAACCTAGCATCGCATAACACAAGCCTTACAGTGCTTACTTTGGGGCTAGGCTAATTGGTGTGAGTGCGGGAAATATTTATTTATTTATTATATTGACCGATAGGATTTTGCTTCGGTCCCTACGGTGCTTGAAATGAAGTTGTCTGGTGACGAATCTACCCATTCCTATCATGTTAATTTAAATACCAGAGACTTTAAATTGCATACAATTTCACGTTTAAGAAAACTTGCGTCCGAGAAGTTTATAGGAACTCGAAATATGTTTCTAGCAGATCATCCTTTACGTTGTAGGCATGCTAGTTAATGCCCTACTACGCTTTGGACGCAATGAAGTCTGTCCCTGGACTGGTCGGCGTTTCTGTGGCGTGCATCTTCAGTGACTCCTCCTTCACGATATCTGACATATGCAAGACTATCGTAGTCGTTGATAAAATATGGTTTTTAAGATTCATCTAGAATATGTTTCGTTATAGATAGACCAGCTGATGCCATACTACGTGGTGGACGCAATGAAGTCCGTTCCTGGTCTAGCCGGTCTGTTTGTGGCGGGCATCTTTAGTGCCTCACTGTCCACTATATCTGCAGCTTGCAACGCTCTTGCTGCGGTTACTCTTACGGATTATGTCAGCAGGTAAGTTTCAATTTTCTACACACGGCCATAATATCCCTGGCAATACAGCCATTTATTGAGTACGACCACGGGTTCATGGTGGTATAGCGTAGTCTCGTACCGGTAGAAGAAACCGATGGGATCACTTAATCATATCGGGGCAGCGATAGCTGTATCGTCCTCATGGTTGCCTCATGATAGATACACATAGCAATTAAGGTCCAATTCAGAGTTTGTCCCTGCAGCAAATGTGTGATCCGGCCCTATCTACAAAATATTTTAGTACTCATTGGAAATTCCATTTTTTGATTTCTAGAGACTTACAATTGCATCAATCGGTAGGTATTAATAACAAATTCCTTGTTTCTTATTTCGATAACACCAGAGCTTCAAATGTTTGTGACTTATTGCGACCTAAGTTTTTTTTGTATGACTAATAATAACAATCTTTATTTTGAAACTTACTTTAAACTTTTATCAATAAATATAACTGCGTTTAAAGACGGTTGATGCAATGAAAATGTAGAAATTGTATTTATTTTAATTTCCTTTGTTCCTAGATGGTGCAAGTTGTCTCCATCTTATGTTCCTTGGCTGACGAAGCTAACGGCTTGCGGCTACGGCTTATTGTTTCTAGCTCTGGCGTTTATAGCGGAACACTTGGGAGGAGTGCTGCAAGCCGCTTTAACGATATTTGGGGCAGTCGGCGGCCCCCTACTGGGTATCTTCACTATGGGAATGTTTACCACATTTGCTAATGAAAGGGTAGGTGTCCGTCTTGTAGCGTTTTCTATACTCAACAATTTCTCAAAATTATCCTTCGTCATACAATATTATTATACTTTTGGTAGTTTAGTAATATTGTTTGTATTTGTACAAACCAATAGAAAATATATTCTACGTTCATTTAATATTCAAATTATGTAATATTATTGTTCTTAAGAATTTTCGAATGAAAACATAATAATAGAGTTTAAAATGGGCAGGGATGTTCAGGGTTACATTCAATTTGCAAGATTTGATTATCGTCAGTCAGACCTGGTGACCCTCAATAAAAGCATGCAGTAAGTTTTTTAGGTGTTCACATTTGCCTTGGGTAACCTACGGCAGCTTATATTATTTTGTTACCTTCAGGGAGTCTCCATAGGTCTAGTAACTGGTATGGCGATGACGCTATGGATCAGTTTCGGTTCGCCCAGACCGTCGCCAGTGAAATTACCACTAAGCGTGGAGGGATGCGACGCGAATATTACTATGCCGGTGCTGCCACCAGCTAAAGACCCCTCGGACTACTTCTATTTGTATCGGATATCTTACATGTGGACCAGTACGGTAAGTGTCCGTTTCAAATCAACTATTAATTTAAATATTTTTTTATTTTAAGCTGGTTTTACTTAATTTTTGCTAAAGGGAATCTCTAGCCTCCGAACGAGATAACACTATTAATTATTCCCTGTCTTGAGCAGATATTGTGATTTTTATTTATAAAGGTTTACGAGAAAATCAAAACAGGCGGGAAATACAGCCTGGGCCGACTTGATTTAAAAAATAAAACAAGATATGAAATGCCGGTAGCTAAACCAAAGTTCTTAAATAAAAATATAATGGAATTACATCACTGTTTCTTCTTATCGAATAGGTACCTACTTGATACATGTAAACGTATCTATATCATTTGACATCAAGGCATTAGCATAAAGGCCAGTTCACTCGAACAGCGAAGGGTGTTACATTCAGTACCAGCATGAGGCCCAACAAGAATTTTTGACAGCTCCATAACGTACCGTATCGTCAATGTTTCTATGAAAACTAAGCAGCGGATCGGACGTAAGAACAAACTATTTTTTTCCCTACAAAATTTGACGATGACGATCCGTTACGGCGCTGTCAAAAATTCGTGCTTGGGCCTCTGATACCAGGGCAGAGTTAATATTTTCTAGAAAAAAAAAATCTGTAAATTTTGATTTATTTTATTTTTCAGCAATTAACTGCTAGATGTCTCATGTAGAAACTGTGTATATAATTTCAATGCAAATGAATATATTTCTATTACAGATAGGGTTCGTATGGGTGATAGTGGTAGCTTCGGTGGTGTCGCTTATATGGCGGCAGAAGCAGCCGTGGGAGAGCGCGGGCCAGAGTAGCCCCGACCCGGCGCTATTCACTCCACCGCTAGCGAGAATACTGCGAGAGAAGAACGGACAGAAAGAAAAACCTGACGTACATGTAAGTATACCTAGGGCACGTAATAAATGGGTACATAACAAGGGTTGCTTTGGTAGTAGTTAAAATTAACATTTTATTGGTATAAAGGCGAATCTGGTAAATTTGCAAACCTGCTAAGGTTAACCAATAACCGACAGGAGTAGATTGTCATTTTTTTCTATGTTCAATGAAATTAGACGTAGGTGACGATCGGTAAATGTAGTAGCACCGAGCATCTATGGCTCGATGTTACCTTATCTAGTGATTGGTTGCCTACTCTTGTTTTTATTTATCACCGAAAAGAATGACGATCATTGGTTCTTGTTGATGATTGATGCCACTATTTTACTTCCATGGCTGTATACTCTAACTTGCACGCCAGTGTTTGGAATGTTGTAGATAGCACAATATTTGTATGCAATATGAAGGAAGGAACGTTAAATAGAGCCCACTGTTTGAAAGATGAACGGACGGAAGGACAATGGAGGCTTAGTAAAAAGATTGTGTTGTTACCTTTTACATTACATATGTTCCTAGGACATACACACACACATAACAAAAAAGTCTTAGCAACACGCAACATTTAGGCTACGGTCTCCTATTAAAAACCATACGCTGCGTCTGACTTCAGCGTAAATGTTCCGTTCGACGTCTGAACGCCAGGCACAGCATCGCGCGTCGGCAGTCAATACATGTCAATCTCAAATGACGACGTCACTTTCACAACAGCGATCGTCGTCGTTCGTCAAATTTCGAAATTTTGTATTGACGCTAAATACGAATTTTTGCGCTGCAATGGTTTACACTAACTAGAAACGAGGCGCAAAGCGTTTGCAAACCAGCTACGGCGTCCACACGCCGACGTCAACGTATGAAAGATACCTGAAGAAACCACAAAAGTACATTTCTATAGTAACCATCGTGACGCGGCATACGGCGTGGCGCTGTACGCGACCTACGGCGTTTATAGGAGGCCAAAGCCATACAGAAACGGAATGTTTCGAAAATCTTAGCAAAATAGATTGATATAGTTACTATCTTTTTTACTATCGAAAATATAATTGGCTGATTTAAAAAATATAAACTTTTCGATTGTGTTTATAATAGTATAGTATAAATATATTACAATGGTGAAAATCGTTCAAAAGTTCAGAATCACAATATGTTGCATAGACATTTTTTGATGAGTACAGTTCCACGTTATTTGATAATCTCTCCATGATACATGTTAATGTAGATTTGTGGCCTTCATTTGACTTATTGAATAATTTAATGTCCCCTTAATAATACCTTAGACTACATATTTTTCGTTTTTTATTACGAAATTATCTTGTTTTGATTGAAATAGGATGAAACCCATACCAAAAGGAAGACAAAATTAATAAAAAGAGGATAAATAAATTACGGGGTATTTGAGATGGGATCTTTTAAGGGGAAAACGGTTTAACGCGATATTCGGAAAAACTACAGCTTCTACCGAAAAAAAATTGCACCAAAATTTTAGGTGATCATAAGATCTACAACTTTTGTGTTTACCTTTTTTTCACATAACCTAAAATATCTGCGAAACATCAAAATAACCGAAGTTTTGGTTTTTTATCATTATCTCTCGCTAAAAACCTTTTATTTTCACGAATTTTCAACTTTTTATTACCTTATTATGTCTTAAATACTCTCTAATTTTTCTTGATTAAAAAAATTTTCTTTTTTCTTTCAAAGTAATTTAAAAAATCCGGACAATTGAAAGATCGGGACAAAGTCCGGACTATGGTCTAAAACTCCGGTAATTCAATAGTCATACAATTTAAGGGCTTATTTTTTCAAGCATACATTCTTAGATCATCTTAAAAAATTGTGTCAAATAGTAGATTGCATAAAATTAGTGGAACATTTTTGGTACAGTCAATGACAAAATGTACGTTGCAATTGCAATTTTAGAATAAACGCAACTAGTACTAATATGGGAAGTATTCTTTGTGCAACTGTATCCACTGGTCCTTGTCTGTAAATTTTTCACTAAATTAGTATTTTTAATGTCTTAAATGAAATCTATTGTAGAAATAAGCTTGGTTTTAGTTTGCTTAGTAGTTTTGTTTCTAGATGGATACTGGCTGTAAATATTGATTTGCATATGCGCTTCGGGTCTGCATGCATGACGCTGTCTTAATTGCATGAGGTAAGTGTGCTATATCAACAAATAAAACAATTCTAATAGGCAGCTAATATTGCGGTATTATAGAAAAATATTTTAAGGTACTTGATTATCCATTAAGAGTTTTCAAATACGCACCTTTGATATACCTTTTTTGTGAAGTATATTATTACTAATTGATTTTTTACTATCCAGGTACTCATAAAACTATGTTCCGATAATTGGAATTGTAATAGCTATAACAAGCTAGTTGAAAAACTTCGAAAGAACAGAAAGAACAATGCTCAAAGAAAACCCAGGCCCGGAGGAAATTAAATGTATCTCAAATTATTACTACAAATGAGAAATTAAGTATCGCATAGTTTTAATTCTTGTAGGCAGTGTTGACGTATTTGCTCAGGATACAGCAGGAGCTCGATGGCGCAGGTGGTTAGCGCGTTCGGCTGCGATCGTTGAACTTAAGCAACTTTCGCAGTGGTCGGTCATTGGATGGGTGACCAAAAATCTTCTATCTCGAGTTCCTCCGTGCTTCGGAAGGCACGATAAGCCGTTGGTCCCAGCTGGATCTGCAGTCGTCGTTAGCACCCGCCAATCCGCTCTGCGCTCGCGTGGTGGGTCATGGGCCCAATCTCCCTATTTCATCCATAGGGAAGGCCTGTGCCCCAGTAGTGGGGACATTAGTAGGCTAATGATGATCTGCTATTTCACTCACTCTTACAGGTTGCGTGTATTCTCGTACCTTACCAGGTAGCCGCCGCATTAATAAAATGCCGAATTCAATCTGCACACATTAGAAAAAGAGTTTACTACACATATATATAAAAGTCAAAATAGCAGACACGCTATTTTGGAACAATATTGTACATGTATTCAAGGAAAGAGGACATTGGGCAGCTGTGCTGATGTGATAAATGTACTATATTACTTGAGTTGGGCCAGAATTCAAGATAACTTCAATCATCCTGGACACACATTGGACGATATAATCCTAGATTTCGAGAATAAATAATTTCAATAATAAATCCATGTAACTAACTTCTCGTTTTCTTTTTTCTTTTTTGATGTCTATTTACATCATTTCACACAGAAAAAGAAAATACTTTGGTGATGATACCTACGTAGTAATTAATTACTCATTATTACCAGTAATTTGAGATATATTCCATTTGCGCCGGGCCTGGGTTAATATTCCAAACTACGTGAGCATTGCTCTTTCTAGAACAAAAGTTGTCTGGACTAATGAGAAAAAACTCCTATTGTGTTGAGGTGGAACATAATTCTTTTTTTCGAATAACCTAACAATTATTATTAAAATCTAAATAGTTGAATTAAGATTTGCATATTATTGATGAAAATACTTCCACAAGGCGTAAACCAATCATTTTCATATACAAAATACTTAATCATATTTTTTATGTTTTAGTGTGAACTGCTGAAACACAATGGAGCTCAAAATTGAAGATTATTGGAATTCTGGTTATTTATTTATACTTAGGTTAGGTGTACTTTATTTATTTAATAGGTTTAAATTGGACTAGTACGTAGATATTAAGCTAACATTCCTAATTTATAACAGAGCACAAGATTAAAGATAATAGACATTTAGACAAGCGAAGCGGTAAGCCCCTATAATCAGCAGCATTCAATTCAAATTATTATACTGAGGACTGATGCGAAATAATGGGTATAATATTTTATACACCGTTAATTTGAGATATCTTAGATACTAGCGATTTCAGATAAAATATTGATTATGTATTTTTAGAAACAAAAAAAAGACAACGATTTATGTAATGTTTACGGTTTCTTTTCTTAAATTATGTTTTCCGAAAAGTGTCTCCAGTTGTACCAATAACAAATTGATTTAAATAAAACTTCTTTAAGGATCTACGTACTTTATACGGATATATAATTCCACACAGGCACATATGTTTTAAACAAATTTTATACTACATAATATATGATATTTTCTTGCACACTGTATAAATCAATATTTTCCTCATGTTTACTGTTTATAACTAAAAGTTCTTACTATTTTTATTTATAGGATTTTTAAGTTTCTCAGGTAGCTAACTCAAAATTCACGGTGTATAAGTAGTTAACCTTACGGTTTTGCGCGTGGTACTTCATGGTGTTTTACTGAACATCTTTTGGATGACCAGTCTTTGCGAGAGTTACTTAATATTAAGTTTAATGCGTACCGTGAAACACGCCAACATTGCCCTTTCTTTTTTATTAATCGTTATTATTTTTGGATTTTTCAATGGCAACCTGAGTATTTTTTTATTAGATGTGACTCTTAAGATCGTAGGCACGTAGTGGCGTATCAAAATCTAATCATTTTCAACGTTTAATTTTAGTTTCGAATCATTTCGATGGCAGTCAATGTTATTTTTGAAGACTGTATGGTCTTTACGTTAAAATCTAAAAAACCGTTGGAAAAAAATAAGAAAAGATGGCGATTACTTTAGGAACTTAAGTTATAAACAGGAAATTTTCCGGTAAAATGACTTTTTTCTTTTTCCCATACAATCTGCATTTAGGCTATCAAAAAATGTTAGGGCTGATACAACCACAAATTACATTCGAGAAAAAAAGATTGATATTTATTTTTTTCATGTATACAAAAATTTGTGATTAGGTGAAGAAAAAAATTAAACAAAGACAATATATTACAAATACGCTTCTCAAATGCAATAAACTTTTAATTTTAATAAAAACAATATTCTTTTTTTTTAAAAATACATAATAGTAATTTAGACCTAAACTTACTTTACTTAAATTATGAATTAATATTTTATATACTTAATTTTAATTATAGTAGTTCCTTAACGGTATTCTTTCAGATTTACAAATCACATGTACCAACCCTAGGCCTTTTTTGGCAACGGGCAATGTTGCCAATCTTAGGTTGGAACAATACCGGATAACTTTACCCAACGTCATAATTTTTTTTTACTAAACCCTCAGCAATGGCACTAGCACTAAAATGACCTGTTCATTATTACATGTTATAAAGCAAACAAAACTATATTTTCACTATTATGCACGTTTGACTTATAAGAGTGTACCAAATTTGCCCACAATGACACACACCTATTTTAAAGAGCTTTCACACATTATTATGTGAAGCTATCAATAGACAAAAAAGTTTGCAATGCCAGAAATATAACCTACTTTCCTCCAAAATTAATCAGTTTCGCCATAATATTAAGATATTTTTTGCGCATCAAAGTCGTTATAACTTGCTAAAATAACAAAGATACCCTTGCAGACAATGTTGGCGTATTTCACGGTATTACGTGCACGTGTTGATGCTGATTGTAGGCATAAAACTAAAGTGCGCCATATGCGCCGCTGGAGTATAATCATCAATAATGATTGAATATATATTCGGAAACTATTTATTTATTCATCATTTACACAAAATTACATAAATATACCAAAAACTATAATATGCCTAATTCATAATAATATAAACAACACAATATGAAATATTGTGAGCGATGGGTTTAGCATACTGTTATTATTATTGTTTACGGATAACATCTTCAATACAAATTCCAAAAGTGGCGTTGTTAAGGCGGCCGCTAGACGTTCAGTTTGTAATGTGGTTTATCATAGCCACTGGTTAAAAAAAAAGAAAACGATGAACAAAACATTTGCTACCGCAGAGATAATAAAAAATATAGTCAATTAAATTTTAAAACACCATATCCTCCTTAAATGCTTTCGCGATGCGTACTGACACACCGTGGTATTTAATGATCGTCTAGTGTAGTGTACTGACAGATGTCAATATTTAATAATTACTAATGCTTACACCGTCAGTAAATAAATCGTTAGTAAATGAACGACTAGCTGCCGATGCCGCCTAGACCGTGTAGTGAGGTCAGACATCAGTAAATAAAATCGTAATCCATGCATTATTATCTTTATTCTCTTAGTGATCATCGAATATAAACGTAAGTATCTTATTATATAAACTACATTTACGAGTATTTTCAATTGGAAAGAACTTAGTTATGTACTTATTAAAAAAGTGTGTACTTAGACTAAAAAACTATAGGTACTTCATGGAATTTATAGTTAATAATGTTGTCGTTTTATAAATATTTACTATGATTAACATAGAAGTGATGAAAATATCGTAAGATACCGATATAATATTGATGTATTTTGTATAGACCATAATGTTTTAGTTTTATAGTTGTAAAATAAGAAGCACTTTAGATGGGAATTCGGCATATGTTTGAATTTTAGTAACGTTAGTTGAAAAGATAATGATGCTGTGATAGCGCAAATGTTCTTCCACTGTTTTTAATATCTAGTTTAAAAAAAAAACATATAGTGTATTAGTAGCTGAACATAGTGAGACATTATTTATAATGAAAATGTGGGTTTAGATGTGTGCGATGGAAATGTATCACTTATTATAACTTGTATGTATGTAAGGTAATATTTTGCTTGCGAACGAAATGTACTCAAAGAGAATGTTAAATACTTAGACGAAAATATTATATCTCTGGTAATTTATTTTTAATTATATTTCTACATTCAAAATGATATTATAGCTACACCAACACCTGTATTATGAAGATTTTAGTCATTTAATAAAAGAACTTTAAAACGGGTTTCTTATGGGTCAAGTACTTATCATGTAGCGTAACCTAGATCCATGGGCTTACTTGTAAATTTAAAAGACTTTTCTGAACTCTTATGATCACGAAGGTTAATTGACAGGCTCTTAAAAAGGGTCTTGAGAAAACGTCAAAAATTACTATGTGAAAATTCTAGACGTTACACACATTTTGTAACTTGTTATATGAATTTTGTTATATACTTAACACGCCCACAAGATATGCCACTGTTGGTCTAAATTTTTTATGTAAACTGGACGCATCATTATTAAAGTGTTTAAAAGATCAGTTAAAAAAACGTTAATAAAGGTACTCAACTTATTATTAAGGTGTTGTTTTTAGCATTTAGGAACTATAATTATTGTTTTGGATTGTTTAGTTTTTATATTCAGGTTAGCGTTATTTTTTAAGGCTGTGGTTTAATTAAAGTTGCTCTACTGAAACTTATTAGAAATATTGTTCATTGCATTGTAGAAGCAAGTTTTTATGATAATTACAAGTTTATTATATATCTAGTTTTTTAATTCATCAAATTATTTTGTTTTTTTTTAACTAGTCTATTTATCTGGGTTTTTTGTGATCGCATCAAGGGGCCGATTCTACCTACTGGTATGACTAGAACACTATTCATCGCACAGTTGTGTAGGTGGATTGGGTCCATTAATCACAATACGTAGTAAGTTTATTGTATCTGTGATATAATATTTATGTAACACATTGTAAAGTTGTACGTGAATATAGATCTTTTTATCAATAAGTTATAAAATTTAAACTAAATATTTTTCAATTTTTACCATAAACTACGTCAAAGGCGAAATTCTAATACTATAACTTATTCAAAGACATTAAAAAATAGTGAGGAATTTAAATACATCCCATTATCGCAACCGCACGTGAGATTATAAAAGAATCAAATAAAAAAAAACATTTTATTTTAAATGGTAGATGTTTTCTCTTACATTATTTTCCTTGAAATAGTATGGGCAAAAACTAGACATTAAACTTATGTGATACTAAGCGGAGAGAATTCTACCTTAGGGCTTGTGAGTTCTTCTATTCAACGTCACAAGAACGCGGTCTGTAGATAGAAAGAAATTTTTAATGCGCTTACTACTGCACAAAATAGCGCGAAACATGCGCAAAACCCGTAAAAGCGAACAAACAAATTAAATTCATTATTTCTTTCATATTTTAAATGACATTAATTATTAAAATTGTACTAATGAATCACCAAAGAATATTAATATATCAAATTGAGAAAACAAACAAAGCTTAGGTACTCTGTGAACTAAATAATTTATATTTTACAATGGTTTCTTCTTATTCAACTTAAATGTTAAATTGCGTGTAGACCAAAGACCATTTTTTGATCTAGTGATATTAATTTCCGTAGGTACATGAAGAAACATGAAATAACAAGGCAAAAGTAGGCTGCAGAAATGCAATCACGTGTTGAACGCGTGTTTACAAAAGCGAACTCTACGATACAAATAGTTATTGTCATCAAATCAATGTATTTGTAATATGGTAAAAACCGACCTAGACTACATAGTAACTACTACCTTCCCAAGTAGAAAATTATATAATACAGTCACAATTAATGTGGCGAAGATAAAGTGAAGTTTCAAAATGGCATAGGATCTATAGAAACTTTGCCATGACCTAAATTTTCTATGGATAACATAAGGGCTGTTATGATATGATAGCGTATAAAAAAATTTTGCTAATACAAAAGTTTAAGAGGAACTAAAGCTAATGTTCAATACGAGGAAGTTAATTTATGCAACCTGATATTAAAAGCCAGTTTCAATAATCAACCTCCAGTAAAAGGTAAGGATACTACATTTTCTGTAGATTATAATAATAATCATGGTTTATTTATCTTAAAAGTTACAATTGCTCTTATATACTAATTAGAGGAATTAAATCTTAAATATTTTTTACATATAAGAGGTTCGTTGACGGCTGTACTAGTATTAACCGTGTCACAACCGTCAGCGACTCCTTCCATGATATTTTGTCATGGGGATGCACAAAAATTAACCTTATTTAAACCATCTAAAGTACCTAACTAACTAAAAATAAGAAAACATTTAAATTTTGTTTTGTTTTATACCGACTGTGCTTTGGCGTGCGTGTGTGTGTGTGTGCGTGTGTGTGTGTGTGTGTGTGTGTGTGTGTGTGTGTGTGTAGCATATGGGTGATTTATTTAACAACAGATAGAAGATTTTCTGTCTCCATATAGTTCAGGTTTTGAAGCCAGTCCCTGAGTTTTTCTTTACACTTAATATATGTTAGTGGATAAACATTATTGTTTTTGTTTGCCAAGTTATAAAGCTGAGATGCACTGGTGTAGAACTGTCGACGAGCAAGGGTAGATCTATGTGGCTCAATTATACAGACATTTCTTCCTACACGCTTTGTGATGGGTTTGTATTTAAGGTATTTATGTCTTCGAAGTACCGACAATTGTATATATAATTGCCTAACTGTAAGTACAGAACTTTCCCTATAAAGAAGAGAGGTGCTGTATTTTCGAGGTTTACTATATATGATTTTCAGTATAGCCCTCTGTGCACGCTCAAGCGGGAGTAAGATACCCTTTCCAATACCACCCCACACCACAATACAATATTGTAGTGTACTTTGGATGAGAGCGTAGTATACACTCATTAAGGTTTGGGAGTCCGCTGAAGCCCTTAGCTTTCTAAAAATAGCGGTTAGTTTTCTAAGTCGACCTGTTAGGTTATTTACGTGAGTTGACCAACTTAAAGTCGTGTCAATGGTAAGACCTAGATATTTCAAATTTGTGAGGCGTATCAGAGGAATACATTCGCATGAAATATCACTATCACAAGTATGAGGCACAAGAGAAAAATCAGGACCCGAAACATTAGACACACGATGAGCGAAAGTAATGTAGCTAGTTTTGCTCAAGTTCAAGGTGAGTAGATTATCATCTAGCCATTATATTACATCTCTTAGAGTATGTTCCGCTAATCGTCTTGCATCCTCCCAGTCTTTCCCGTGAATGATCAGAGCTGTATCATCAGCATAAGTGATGACTTGGCAATTTTGCAATGTTTTTGAACATAAACCGTTTATATACACCAGGAAGAGAGTCGGACCCAAGACGCTGCCTTGAGGTACTCCAAAAGAGATGGTTGTGGTAGTGCTAATATAGTCACCAATCTTTACACTCTGTGTGCGATTTGATAGATAGCTGCGAAACATGTTTAAGGCTATGCCTCGAATACCAATCACTTCCAACTTGTGTAGTAAGAGAGGGATAGAGACCGTATCAAAAGCCTTGGAAAGATCCAAAAAGACACCCAATACCCTTTTCCCATCATCAAGATGCCTTACAATTGTCTCCGTTAAAAGTAAAGTTGCATCTTCTGTAGATTTTCCCCTTACAAACCCGAATTGATTATCTGAAATTATTTTATTATGAAAAAGAAAGCTCATTAATCTACTATTTAGGACCTTTTCAAATATTTTTGAAAGAACCGTTAGCACCGATATCGGTCTATAGTTATCGACACGGTCTCTATCGCCACGTTTGTAAATAGGGTGAACTAAAGCCTGCTTCATAACATGAGGAAAAGTACCCGTAGCCAAACATAGATTATAAAGATGTGTCAGTGGGGGAATCCGGCTAACTCTCGCTTCTTTAATAATCTTTGTTGAAATATTATCAGCACCTCTAGAAGCACAATTTTTAAGTTTGATAATAATGTTATTTAATTCTTTAAAGTCAGTTTCAAGCAATACTAGCGAGTCTCTGTTTGAATTTGTATCACAATTTGCATTTGGTATTTTCCTAGTTTTTTTGTTTTTTTTGAATATCCTTAGCCAGTCTTGCGCCAACTCCTGCGAAATATTCATTAACTACCTGTACGGATTTGCATGGGTCAGAGTCTAAGTTAAGTAGGTCATTGCAGCGCTGAGTAGTTTGTTTAAAATTTGTGATATTGCTAATGACTTGCCACATTCCTTTTGGGATTTTCTTGTTTTTATTTAATTCAGCCTTTTCATATTCTACTTTTATTTTTTTTAATAGATTGTTGCAGTAGTTGCGATATCTCGTGTATGTAATTGAAAGTATAGCATTGCCTTTATCTTTTTTATGTTTTGTGAAGTTTATCACGAGTTCTGATACAGCGCAAAAGTCCAGATGTTAGCCATGGCTTGATAGGACGCATACGATGTGGCATGATAATTTCACAAGAGTGGACCCGAATAACTTGAGCAATAGTATTTGTCAGCGCGACCGCCGCCAAATCAGCGTCAACAGTATTATATACGTCATGGAAATCTGCGTTACAAAGGTCTTTGACAACTGAGGCATAATCAATTTTTAGGTACGTTTTCTTACAATTGTTTCTTCGGACCTTCAAGTCAAGGCAGAATAGTAAAGGAGAGTGGTCAGTTATAAGGGAGTCTAGTACAATAGTGGTAGAACTTTTATCTGATCTCACCATAACATGGTCTATATAGCGAGTTGGGAAAGTGTGGCCTGGAAGTAGTCCATGGTGTGCCGTCAAATCTAGATATTGGCTTTTGTTGGCTTCTGAATTATTCGTGGAGATATTAATATTTATATCACCGATTAAAACTACCGATTTAACCATATTCAAGGATGACAAATAGTGGTCAAGATTATCACAGAAGTTTGTTAAATTACAATATGATGGAGATTACATAGGGACTGTTCTTAAATTTTTTTCATTTTCATCAAATAACGAATCAACATATATGTTACTTATAGCCTTAGATTAAAACAATAGCCTGCCGCGGTAGTTTAAAAGTAAAGGTCGATAAAATATCATTATAATTTACTGCGGACAAACGGGAAGATAAGTCGATCATAATGAATTTTATTAGTTTTTTATTACTCTTACATAAGCCATTTTGATTAAACTGAATCATTTACAATCAACGATCAGTAGTTTTACTTAAGATTGATCACTGCAAAGTGACATTTGAAAGGCAAAGGTAATACGTGGGTAACACTGAAAATGTTTAGAACTGGCCAGTTAGAAACATCGCTAATGAAAACTTTTTTTGAATTGCAATTTTAGAACTGTTGTTAATGTAATGTAAAATTTTCGGTCAATGATTTATTATGACTTTAGTTGTGGGCTTACTCAGCAACAAAGTATAATAGGCTGCGATTAGCATTTTTTAATGAAGCCCCATCTCTTGCTACTATTTACAATTGGTTTAACGAGTTTAAGCGTGGACGTAGCAATTTCAATGATGATCCGCGTGAGGGACGTCCTTTAACAGCGACTACTGAAGATAACACCAGTGCTGTGCGACGCATGATAGAGAAAGATAAGAGAGTGACCTATCAGCAGATACGGGCAAGCCTAGGCATTGGTTTGAGTTAAATTAAAAAAATATTACACGAACATTTAGGTGTCCGGAAGCTTTGTACCAGATAGATTCCCCATACTTTAACCGATGACCAGAAACACCTTCGCATGGACTGGTGTCGCCAAATGTTAGATAAGTTCAACGGCGGTGACTCAAATGCTGTATTTGACATCCTTACAGGTGATAAAAGCTGGATATATCACTACGAACCCGAAACCAAAAGACAATAAGCTCAGTGGGTGTCTTTCGAGGATCAGCCAACTAAGGTAACGAGAGGAAGAAGTCAAGGAAAGATAATGATTGCCAAAAGAAGATGATTGCTTCATTCTTTGGTCGGAAAGGTCATTTCGCGACAGTTGTGCTAGAAGAAGGAAGGACAGTTACTGCAGACTGGTATGTCAATTGCTGTTTGCTTGTTGTCATGGAAAAAATTCGACAGCAGCGCCCTCGAAGCAGGATCCTCCTTCACCACGACCGTGTTTCAGCGCACTCCGCAAAACGGACTGTTGAATATTTGACTGTGGCAGGTGTCGAGATAATGAGCCATCCGCCATGCAGCCCTGATCTGACACCCTGCAACTTTCATTTATTCCCAAGAACTGAAGATAAAATTCGAGGTATTCGCGTTACGAGCCCTGAAGATGTGGTGAAAGTGTACGAAAATGCCATAGAAGAGACCCTTAAGAAAGAATGGTTCCACTGCTTTTCTCAGTGTTTCCATCGAATGCGACGATGTGTAGAGAGGAAAGGAGATTACTTCGAAAAGCAATAAAAGTATTAGCAACTTTCTACATTAAGCCGCTTTTCATTT